ACTAGTGATGCAGCATATGAGCCACATCTGGCTTTTTGTTAATTAGAGATGAATCTCTTAAATTTGTCTGCCTTGGCTGGCTTTGAAGCACAACCCTTAGATCTTAACCTCCTGATTAGCTAGTATTATAAGTATGAGCCTCGAGTGCCCAACTATATCTATCTATCTATCTGTCTATATTTTGGTGGTGGGGGGGTCAATCATGGAGCTTGAACTCAGGGCTTAGGCACTGTCCCTAAGCTCTTTTACTCAAAGGAAAGGTAGTGCTCTACCACTTTGAACCTCAGTGCTGCTTCTGGTTTTTGAGTGGTTAATTGGAGATAAGAGTCTCGTGGACTTTCCTGCCTAGGCTGGCTTTGAACCATACTCCGCAGATCTCAGCCTCCTGAGTAGTTTGTATTACAGGCGTGAGCCACCGATGCCCAGCTATGTTACCTATATTCTTTATCTTCTTTTTCTTCCCCCTAAACTTAGAATCTGATACGTATTTCACTTATTCAGAATTCATTCTCCCTTACTAGAAGCTAAGCTTCACAAGAGGAATGTTTAGCTCTATTCAATAGAGGTTGCAAGATAGGCATTCAATAAATAATTATTGAATGAATAAATGATTGCCATCCCGCAACTATACACTAAACTTGTAATATGTAACTGGGTACTTTGGGGGCTTTTTTGTTTGTTTTTTGTTGGTCTTGGGGTTTGAACCCAGGTCCTGGGTGCTGTCTGTCCCTGCGCATTTTCATTCAAGGCTAGAGCTCTACCACTTTGAGCCACAGGGCCACTTCTGGTTTCCTGGGGATTAATTGGAGATAAGAGTTCTCATGGACTTTCCTGCCCAGGCTGGCTTCAAACTGTGATCTGAGCTTCCTGAGTAGTTTAGGATTACAGGTATGAGCCACTGGCACACAGCTGGGTACCTTTCTTGGTATGGAAACAACCCAGATTCCCCACAACAGGTAACTGGATCCAAAAAATGTGGTACCTATTAACAGTAGAATTTTACACAGCCATTAGAAAGAATAAAATAATGTCATTTGCAAGGAAATTGATAGAAGTAGAACAAATCATGTTGAGTGAGGTAAACCAAGAGCAGAGACAAACGGTACATGTTCTCTCTGATATGCAGAAGTCAGATCTAAAATGCACTGGGATATGACAAATTACAACGGATTCTAGATACATACAGTGAGACCAAAGGAATATAATCTTAGGAGAGAAGCATAAAGGGGCAATACCCAAGCGCCTCTTCATATATATAAAATACATACTGAAACAAACTCCAAAGGACTTTTTTTTCTTTTTCTGATGATTCTATATTCTTTACCTTATACACAGTATATTCACATGCATATCTGTGAGAGGGTGGAGGGAGAACACAGAATCTGAGGAAAAAAGGTATAAAAGTGCAGCAATGGGACACACTGGACATTGATGCAAAGGAACTATACAACTTGTGAGTGAAGATGGGAGGGAGGGAATGAAGGAACAGATGACACTGTATGAAAGGAAATGTACTTATAAACCCTCTATATATCACCTCTATAGTAAAGTAAATTTTAAGTTTACAAGAAAGTAGACCAAAAAAAAAAGGAGGTTTAAGCTAACACTGGTTGTAATCATGTAATCATGCCTGTAATCCTAACTACTCAGGAGCTGAGATGTGAGGATCACTGTTCAAAGCCAACCCTGACAGAAAAGTCCATAAGGCTCATCTCCAATTAAACACCAAAAAAAAAAAAAAAAAAGAAGCAGAACTGTGGCTCAAGTGGTAGAGCACTAGTCTTGAGAAAAAGCCACTTAGGGACAGTGCCTCAGTCCTGAATTTAAGCCCTAGGATTAGCAGATGTACGTGCGCGTGCACACGCTCGCACGCGCATGTGTACATACACATACACACACACACACACAGAGGTATAAAGTAGTATGGGTTTAGTGATTTTCCTTTTCTTTTTTTTTTTTGATCAATCATGAGGCTTGAACTCAGGGCCTGGGCGCTGTCCCTGAGCATTTTTGCTCAACATTAGTGTCGAACCACTTTGAGCCAAAGCTCAATTTCCAGTTTTTGAGTGGTTAATTGGACATGAGTCTCACCGGGACTTTTCTGCCCAGGCTGGCTTCAATCCATGATCCTCAGATCTCAGCCTCCTGAGTAGCTAAGATTACAGGCATGAGCTACCAATGCCCAGCTACAACTCATTTTTGTACTGCACACAGGTAAGGTTTTCAGTGGGGATATGTTTTGTTTTGGAGGTTGGTTTTGTTTTGTTTTGCCAGTCCTTGAAATCAGGTCCTGGGCACTGTCCTTGAGCTTCTTTTGTTCAAGGCTAGCACTCTACCACTTGAGCCACAGCGCCACTTCTGGCTTTTTCTGTTTATGTGGTACTGAGGAATCAAACCCAGGGCTTCATGCATGCCAAGCAAGCACTCTACCACTAAGCCACCTTCCCAGCCCACATGTTTGTTTTTTATTATTGTTCAAGAATTTTTAAATAGCTAGGGGTGAATCAAAAGAATACTGTGACATCTGAAAATTCAAATTTTGATGTCCATATAAATAATTTTATTGGGACACAGCCACGTGATGACGCCCACCCCCACCCCCATTTAGTTCTATCTGTGGCTGCTCTACAGTTTACAGGAAGGGCTGGACAGTTGCTGACAGACACTAGGTAGCCTGCAGGCGTTAAAATGCTTAGTGTCTGGTCTTTCTGTGGATTCAGTTCTAGGGCCTGGAGGGGTGGCACATGACATACATTACAGACATGTAATGCTTTTCCAGTCTGCATTGTAAAGATTGAAAAAGAGCTTTGGGAGATGAATGAGATGTCTGAGCAATAGGCAAGATAGCTATCTTCACTGGAAGTGATTCTGCAGACCTTTCATCTTATGAGCAACCCTTTCATTTCCTGGAGTGCAAGATTTTGTCCCAAACTCCCTTTTTCTTCATGTATATATATGCATATATATGTCCTGGGTACTTGTCCTTTATCCCTCTATCCCATCCCCTCTACGCTTATTAATTTATCACACTGTTTCAAATGCTCTCTCTACTGTGACAAGTGCAGAAGAGCCACCAGAGGTGGCATTGTTAAGGAGAAAATCCAACCAAAGGTTCATTTATAGGAAGATGGAAAAAGAAAGCACCTGGCACACCAGAAGTTGGTTTGAAGTCCAGGTGACAATCAAAGAAAAGTGGCTCTGGCCCCCCAGTTGTGTCTTCTTCAGAAGACAATGGAGCTGGACTACAGGCTGCCCAGAGCTTTGAGATCCCTAAATTTAAGATGGTGAGTAGGAAACAGGAAATGGATCACAAGAAGAGGCCAACTCCCGCCCCTCCCAGCTTGGCTTAGTTCAGCACCCTGTTATACCTAAAGTAGGAACTGCAGCTACAAAGGATGTTCTTGTGGGCATTGAACTCAAAGCCATTGACCTTGATGACCACGTCGCAGAGCTTGCCCTCCAGCCGAAGTTCGTTGAAGATCTCACAGGTCATCGCACTCATCTTCCTCTCCATGTGAGGTTGGTGGAACCGTGTGGAGGCCGCCGTGCTCTCCATCTCCATGGCACCCTGGGACCAGCGGAGAGAGGCTGCTCTCCTGGGGTGTTGGGGAGGGTTGTGGGGGGCCCCTTTAGCCAGCTGTCGCTCCTTTTCCCTACTACATCTTTCATATAGGGCCCATCAGGCAGCCCAAGTTCCAGAATCCTGGATTCGCAGTGAGATCATGCTCAGGATTGTGCTCTCAGGTTCTGGAACTCCCTCCTATCCCTGCTCCTTCCTTCCCCCTCCCCCCTGTCACCCAGAGAGAAGACCACCCATTCCACAGCTCTGTATCCTGGAGCCCAGGGCTCATCTGTGAACAGCAGCACCATAGTAGAGATTTTATTGATTCTACTTCCTGTTGCCTGAGTCCACATCCCTGCAACATCCATCCACTTTTCAGGATTCCCACACACCCAGTTCCAGGAACTCCCAAGTCCAGAGCCAGAAGTGATGCTGATTAAAGCTTGTGCTGCCCAGCTGCTCAGGATCTTCTTCAGTCCTCTGGATGTGTTTGTGGCTTGCTTTCTTCTTCATTGGTGACAAGACAGGGCCCAGATATGGAAGCACCTCCTGGTTATATCCCCAGTGCCAAATTATCTTTTTGTTGTTGTTGTGTCTTTGGGTGGTACTGGAAATTGAATTGGGGGGTTTGTACTTGCTCTAATGCTCTACCACCAGTTTTTGTTGTTGTTTTTAAGATAGTGTCTTGAAAGACCCTCCACCCTTTTCCATCTGGACTAGTATCTACCTATTTATGTTTCCCACCATAGATAGGATGACAGGCATGCATGCACCCCTATGTCTAGCTTTTTCTGTTTAGATGGAGTCTCCTGAATTCACTTACTGTTGTTGTTTTTGTTGTTGTTGTTTGCTTTGGCTCCAAGGCCTGAAACCTCCATTCTCCCTTCTTAGCTTCTCTCATAGCTGGGATACACATGCTCACCACCCTGGTTGAGATAGAGGGAGGGGAGCTACCTCAGCTTTTTTTTTTTTTGCCCTTCCTGGCCTCTAATCCCAATCCTCCTGAGTAGGTAGCATTGCAAACTTGGAACCCATGGGCACCTTGCCTTGTGTGTCCTGAAGCCCAAAGCAGAAGAATGTGAGAGAGAGAGAGAGAGAGAGAGAGTGTGTGTGTGTGTGTGTGTGTGTGTGTGTGGTGTTGCTCTATCTCGGCTTCTGCTCTAACCATTCTTTTTTGGCAGTACTGGGGTTCGAACTTGCTAGACAAATGCTTACCCCTTGAGCCACACCTCCAACCCTGGAAATGACCACGTTTACTCAGGCTTTTGGCTCCGGAGGACAGAGTGGCAGGCGCACACCGAGGCCCTGGTGACAGCCAGCCCAGCCCAATCAGGTCACCCCGGCGTCTTGGAGGCCCTCCCCCTCTCTTCCCCCGCCCCCCACAGAACCCTCCACCAACTTCTCCCGCCAGCGCCCGGCGCCGGCCTGAAGGCGGGCGAGAGACGGACGGCGCGTGCGCAGTGCGAGCCGTGCCGAGCCGTGCCGGGAGCCGAGGATCCAGCCGCCCGGACTATGGCGGAGGAGGTGAGGCGGGGAGGTGGGGAGCGCCGGGGCGGGGAGGGAGGGAGGGAGGGAGGCGGGAGGGACAGCCTCTTCCTGCGGGGGTGGGGAGCAGATCCCCCTTTCTGGCATCGCGCGGTGCCGGGGCCCCGGGGCTCCGGGGCCCGCGTCCAGGCCGCGTGGGGTCAGCGCCTCTCCCGGCGTCCGCGCAGGTGAGCACGCTGATGAAGGCCACGGTGCTGATGCGCCAGCCGCGGCGCGTGCAGGAGGTC